GGGAAAGGTTAGCCGAACAGAACACAGACACATCAGATAAATGATGCCACTCACCAGCTAAGTGGTCCTGGGCAAGCCACACCTCTTCCTGGGCCTCGGTTTGCCCAGCTAACAAAAGCCCATTGACCAGCTGCTTCCTCAGGCTAATCAACCTCGAACAGTACAGGGCACATCTCTGGTCCTGGGGCAGGAGGGGCCGGGGGCTCTGGCTTGCTGCCCCCAGTACCCCAGAACTGGGCAGGAATCTCGTTCTCTAGACCCCATCCCCAGATCCACACATGTCAGCCAGGCCCTCAGCAGGACCCACTGATTACAAGGGTGCTCCACAGCACCACCTAAAAGCACCCTCAGACACTCCTCCTGTGCAGAGAAGCCAGACAAGGAACAGTGACTCCCCACCACCACACACACACCAGTCTTGGCTGTGGGAGGAACCTGGTTAAGCATTGGGTTGCTAACCACAAGGCCAGCAGTTCGAAACCCCCAGCCCCTGTAAAGTGTTATTGCCCTGGAGACCCACGGGAGCACTTCTCCACAGACCGGCAGGGCTGCTCTGAGTCAAGTTGACTTGAAGGCAGTGGGTTTGGCTTTTGAGTTGGGTGGCCTGTTGGAAGCGAATTGCCAGGCTCTTTTTCTGAGGTACCACGAGGTGGATTTGATCCGCCAAACTTTGGGTGAGGAGCTGAGCGCTTAACTGTTGGCACCACTCAGCAGAGGCCTGGGACACGAACCCATGTGCCTGACCACTTGGTGGTCTTGCCTGAAGGCTATAAAATTTGACCTGGAGTCTGCAGACAGGGAGGGATGACCATGAAGAGCCAACCTTTATTTGCAGGGTCTCTACTACACAGCTTTCTCTTTCTTGTTGTCGTTGGGTGCTGCCAGTCAACTCTGGCCCTTAGGGGACCCGTGTGACAGAGCAGAATGGCCCACGGGGTTTTCTAAGCTGCCACTTCTGAGAGAACAGAGTTAAGGTCTTCGCTCTTGCAGGGCCATGGGGTCCCTTTGAACCAAGGACCCTTGGGTTAGCAGCCCAGTGCTTAACTGTTGGGCCACTAGGGCTCCTGGTGCCTGACTCTGCATGGCTGTGAAGTGGACTATGAAGGGGGCTGTGGATTGGATGAAATTAGCTACTCCACATATCGCAGTTCTCTCCATTCCCAAGGGGAGACCAAACCCACCACCATGGAGTCTGGGTCGGCTCCGAGGGTTTCCCAGGCCGTCTTGGAAGAAGTGCGCCAGGAGGCTCCTTAGAGGTGAGGATGGCCAGGCTCCGTCTCACATACTTGGCGGATGTGATCAGAAGAGACCAGTCCTTGGAAATGGTAAAGTAGATGGATGGACACAGGGGTTGCACCAAGGGGCTCAAGCGTGGGGACAGTTGTTTGGACGGTGCGGGAAGGACGGTGCTGCCTTTTCCTCTACATCGGGGTTGCTATGAGTCGGAACCAACTCAACGGCTCCTATTAACAACAAAGGCTCTAAATCTTTATGGGAAGAAGACAGCTGGCTCCCCCCACCCCCTCCCCGCCAATAAAATACCTGGTGGACTTGGCTGGACAACCTAGACTTGACCAAAAAATGTTTCCCGGGCATCTCTCCACCGGGACTCCATGAGGGGAGAGGGTACCCCGAGAGAGAGAGAGACAGAGAGAGAGAGACAGAGAGGCAGAGACAGAGAAATGACAGGAGCAGGTCAGGCTGTCTAGAGCTGGAAGTCTCCAAACCAGCCCCCCGCCCCACCCCCCGCCCCCCACCCCCGCCCCCTTCCTCCAGGGAGTAACGTTGGAAAGCCAGGACCGCTGCCTCCTGGGGCCCAGCTCCAAGAGATGAGGAGCCCACAGGGGTCCTGGATCCAGGAAGGACCTTGTCATGGGGCCATCCCCTGCCCTCATGCCACTCTGGAATGCAGCCACATTTGAGGTCATTACAAGGAAACGGGCCCACCGGGGGCCTGCAAAAGCGTTTAGTGGTCTGGCATTTTTTGGTGTGTATTCTTGTTGGTAATTCCAATGTTTTGCAAAAGGAAAAGTGTTTATCGTATTCAATACACTCTAGCAAAGCTGTTGGCTGCCCCATCAGAACAGTCTCCATAAACTTGACTTGCAAAGCGACCCTGCTCACTACACCCCTGGTTCACCATGCCCACCGATCACAGCATTCCCCCACCCCTCCACATAAAGGCTGCCAAGGAGTCCCCTGTAGCCCCTCAGTCTCTCTTGCCCCTCCTACTGTCCTTCAGATTTGACCAACTCCTCCCTTCAAGTTCCATCCTGACCACCGCCTTCTTTAGGAACCTTTCCTGAACCTCTGTGCTGATCTCAGATCTCTGCTCACTTTCCTGGGTGGGGGGGAAGGGCTATGTCTCTCTCCTCCTCCTGCTCCTGTGTCTCCAGAGCAGCGCTGAGCCAGAGCTGTCCCTGAGCAGTGAACGGCCGACTAAGTGGCTAAAGAGAAGGGCTGGCGACACTCGGCAGGACTTTGACCCACACAAGCGTGGCACCAACCAGGTGCTGCTCCCCAGGCCTCCCAGGCCTCCCAGGCCTCCGGGCTCCTGGCTGGAGAAACTCAGTATGGGAACTTTTCCGAACTTTCAGACTGGGGTGAGGTGGGCAGTGGAAAGTCTAGCAAAGGAATCACTGGAGTAACAGCTAGAAAGAGCCACATAACCACCTCGGCCATGCGGCACGCACAGGTTTTGTTCGCTGGGTTGGACTCACAAGCCAGGCACTGGGCTTTCCAGTTCCACAGATGTTCCAGGTACCCTGCTAGGACGCGGAGCTCAGAGACCCGAGGGGCTCACAGTCAGGACCAGTGCTGTGCCAGGAGGGGCATGCCACAGGCGCTGTGGCACCGTGGCAGAAACTCCCTGTTGTCCCTGAGCCCCCTCAGGGCCCCAGCTCCTTGTGTGTGTAGTGGGGGGGGGGGCCTCCACCCCCACCTCCTGGGAGACTTTCTGGCGCTGGGCCGCGCCGACCACATGTGCTCCAGCCCAGTTCTCTCCGCCTTTGTACTCGATCCCAACACGACTTTGTCTTTAATCAGTCCAAACGCTGCCTGGCTGAGAGAGGAGCCAGACAGCTGAGCGGGAGGCCAAGGGAGGCTGAGAGAGGAAATAAACGTTCACCAACCCCCTCCTCACCGCCCCCGCCCCCACCCCAGGACAGCCCTCCTGCCTCCCTCCCACCCAGCCCAGATCAGCGCCTCCTCTGCATGTCAATGGCCCCAGGGTTCCAGCAGAACAAGTCCAGGTCCAGGAGCAATTAAAGCAGGCCTTTCTTTGGGGATTCCCCCCACATCCCATGGCTCTCAGGAGATGGGGGCCACCCACCCCTTCAAAGGGCTTCCAGCTGCTGAAAGGACCCAAGAGTCCTCTAAGCCCTCCCACGAAACCATTGTTGTCTGCTGCTGCTGTGGGGTCCTCTTCATACTCCACGCCACCCCACGTGTGCTGGGAGCTGCTCCCTGGGGGTGGGGGTGGGGTGGGGGGGTTCAGAAGCAGATCGCCAGGCCTTTCTTTTGAGGTCCCTCTGCCAAGGGTTTGACCCATCGGTGCCACACCAGACTGAAAGTGTGGGAATCCACAGAACAAAACAGCTGTGTTGAAAAGGTTTCTCCCACTCCCTTTGGACCAAGGGAGCGAAGCCACTGGGCGCAGCAGCCAGGAAGCCCCCCAGGGGAACCCTTTCTGACAGGGTGGGGCAGCACAGTGAGGGGGTAGCTGGAGGACCTGCTCTTGGGGCACCTTTTCTGTCCAGCAGGGTCCGTGTGCTCCACTGAATGCCCAGGAGGCCCCAATGTCCTTCCCCCACCCGGCTCTTGCCCCAAGCACCAGCTCCTGGACAAGCCTCCCATGAGCACTGGGCCCTTCGACCACCCACTCCGTCTCACCCCAGGAGATGAGACCCCCTGAGGGAGCCAGGAAGTCAGGCAAGGATCAAACCTCAGAGTTCTCCCCTCTCCACTTCTTCCCCACCTCCTCCGCAAATGACCTGTCCCCTTCCCCCAGCACTGCTGGGGACAAGTGACCTTTTGACCAAGGAGGGTGGTCACTGGAGGGTTGAAAGGATTCTAAAGTAAACAGAGATAAAGGCTGCCCAGGATTCCTCCCAGAGAAACAAGAGCTCGGGAAAGCAGGGCCTGGTTCCTGACCCTGATAAGCCAGGGCCAGCAGAGAGCCCAGGGGCCAGGGTTCTGATCCCCTCAGAAGGACAGGCTCTGGTGGTCAGCGCCCAGGGGCTCAGTCTCCAAGCTGGGAAGTGGCCTTCCCTGCCTTCAGTCTGAGGGGTGGGCCCTGTGCTTTGGGCGGACTGGTGGAGCCCCTGCCCGCTGAGGATGGGCTGGTGGGTTTAGAACTGGTCTGCCCCAGTTCTAAGTACTGGGCCTGGCAGAGTACTGGGCCTGGCAGACAGCTACCTCCAGTCCCTCTGCATCCCAGTAGGGCAAACGGAGGTGAGGGGTGGGAGGGGGTGCCCAAACGGGGTTCCCCCAGCACTCAGCTATCACCCCAAGACCCGGGGCTGATCTCCTCCTTCCTGTACCATCCCTCTGACTGCGTGGACGCCCTGGCAAATTACCTTACCCCACTCCCGAGTGTTTGCTCATCAGCAAAGTGGGTCCAACAGCCCCTACAGCGTGAGAGTGGGGGCAGTTGAGAAACGGCAAGCTATGCCGATGGGAACAGCAAGACACCTGGGTGGGCAACCATGTGCTCCCCTGAATGCGGAGCGCTGGCACCCAGGGGTGCTAGGGCGGCCCGCGCGTGGAGGCGAGGGTGTCTGCGGTGGGGTATTTTATCCGCAGAGCGAGTCTCCAGCATCGCGGGCCGCGGGCTGGAGGAGGGAGTCTGGGCCTCGCCAGGCCTCACCAGGCGCAGCGTGGGGCGCGCATGGGCTCCGGGTGGCCGGCCGCTCCAGAACTTCCAAGGAGCGCGGAGACCGCCCGGGTGGGAGGACATTAAAGTCAGGCGCCCCCTCCCGAGGAGACCCCAGGACCCCTACCTCGGGCCGCCAGCAGCGAGAAGGCACCGAGCAGCAGCAGCAGTGGCAGCGGGACCCGGCAGGGCGACAGCGCGGCGCGCTCCATGGGGGCGGTGGGGCGGAGGGAGCAGACAAAGGCGCGGATGCGGGGCTGTGGTCCCCAAAGCCTCGGTCAGGCAGGCGCCAAGGATAGCGGGCTCCAGGATCCTCCGTAGCCAACGCCGGGCCGGCGCCGCGCGGTTCAATTATCCCGCCGGGAGGAGGGCGCGGCAGAGGCGGGGCGGCTGGGCGCCCTCCCACTGGACACCCCCACCCCCTTAGAGCTCTAGGGCTTCCTTCTCTCCGTGCCCCTGGCTGGGTCCACAGCTGCGTCTGGGGGCTGAAATCCCCAAACTTCGCCACGGGATAACAGAAAAGAAGTGGAGGCGCGGGGGTCAAATGATGTATTATCCTCCTACCCCCAGTGGTAGTGAAACCGAATCCCCTGGGGTGGGGAGGGGCAGGCTGGGTATCAAAGGTTAACTTGGCCTGACCCCTGACCCCTCGGGAAGGGGCAGGGGCGAAGTAAGGAAGAATCCCACAGGAGCTGGGGCCCAGGGCCCCAGGCCCAGGGAGATGCAATGGAATGGGGAAATGAAGGCAGTGCCCTCCCTCCTGGGCTGGCCACGCTGACCCCAGGAATGTCTTGGGCTGTGGGACAGGGTCCTGTCCTCAGGAGACTGCCCAGGCAGGCCTCCGACTCCACCCTGCATGTGGACCCAAGTAGAAGGGATGGGGCCACACAGTGAGCAGCATCCCCGACGACATACAGGTCCCCTGGTGTCACATGCATGGCCACGACCAGCCTCTGGTCACTGAGCAAAAACGTGTCTGTTAGAACCAGGAGAAGATTAAAGAACAAAAGCAACTCCCTCCAGAGGCCACGGAGACAGCCATCAGTCCCCTCCCAGGCTTTTGCCTAACACAAGAGCCCACAGAGACTAGGGCCAGAATGTCCAAGCAACACGGGTCACCTTAACTACAGGTTATAAAGTGCCCAGCCCCACTCACAGGACACTAAGGGATACTGCAGCTATACTCGGGAGCACTACACAGCTATGACCCAGAAGAGAGCCTTGCTCAGGCAGGAGACAGCTCTGACAGCCTCATGGGTGATGGAATCATGGGTGATGGAACCATGGGTAATAAACCAT